TCTCTCTCTCTCTCTCTCTCTCTCTCTCGCATGCGTGTGTGTGCACTTGCAGGCGCGCTCTAATGTGGCCTGTATACTGAGCACAGGAGATAATGTTTGAACTGCAGAAGGTAGCAAAGTGCAGGCCGAGTCTTGGCCAGTGTAATCCCCAAGCTATATTGCCAGGTAACCATCCCGCAGGCCATGTTCCCCCCCCCAAGCCAATCTCCTACCTCCTCTATCACTACCTAGCTCTAGGACTGATGCTCCAAGATGGCGCTGCACTCCTACACTCCTGCAGCCAATCGCCAACAAACCACTCCATGTCCTAGGACTGAGGCCTGGCCCAGCTATATACCGCTGGGCCTCTTGGATGTGCCTGCCAGCCTGCATCCAAGACCGTCCGATCAATCTCACGATCGGTGGTCCTGAATGCAGGCCATAGTCCTGCACCAGAGACCTCGCCTAAAACGGCCCCTCTGGGGCCCTACCAGATGTCCAGGCGGCCCTGCTGATGCAGCAGGGCAAGTCCAGAAGGTACGAGGGCTGGCCCAGGCACTACGGAGGAGAGCCTGGACCATCCTACATACAGACAAAGTCTCCTGGCCTCAAACGGCCAAAACGTGGGGAACCAGTGCTCCACTGGTCCGAAGAGGCACAAATGCCTTCGGAAAAACCCAAGAGCCTAGCTCAGTGGGTACACCCATGAACTGTTGAAATACAGACCTGTGTTTGAATCCATATGATGGAACTCGGCGAGTAAAACCAAGTACTAATGAATTGCTTGGGGCCGGTCAGCTCAATGATAATATCTCAAGGCCGTCGCCCTTAAAAAAAAACGGAAAAGGCATCACCTCAGATTCACCTGGGGGGAGATCCCACTACGCACGTGAGTGGAGTAGTGGACACGGTGTGTGACTCCAATGCACCGCGGATCGGGACAGCAATCAGCGGTGTGTTCTTTTTCGTATATAAGGGGATGGGTATATATGTATTTCCGTGGCGCCCTATTGGTCGGTCTTGCTTCTTTTCTTGTTTTGAAGGTCCTAGAGGGGTCCCCGATGTGAGTGAAAATCATGACGTTTTTTTTCGTTCTGATTTTCACGTACCTTCCGCTTACCTTTTGGAGGGCGCCCTCCCAGGAAAGAAAGGCCAACAGCTAAAAGTTTCCGCCTTTGCCATGATGACGGGATGTCAGTTCGTGTCAGACCGTGTGCAAATGCTGTCTGGACGATGGGACTGGCACTGAACCTTTCCAAGTTATGCCATCGGATTCAGTTGCAGTTCTCGGTGGGTGGACATCATTGCGCTTGCGAAAATGCAGGGACAAGTTTTATGTTCACGAAAAGGATGCCACACGGATGTCGCCCGCACGTCGTGCACCCGTCACACTACACCACATACCTCTATAGTGGGATCTCCCTCCTGGTCTGTATAAAACCTGGAACAAACAAGCGAACTGCAGAAATAAATCAAATACAAAATCCGCAGCAAAAGAAACAACAGAAAAGACAAAAATAAGAACAAGGGCAAACAAGGGAGGGACTGAAAGAAGGGATTGTGCAAGAAAAGGAGGAGAGATGGGAGGGCGAAAAGAGGGAAGAGGGGGCAAGGGAGAAAGGGAGAAAGGGAGAAAGAGGGGGATGCAGATGGGAAAAAAGGATGGAGAAAGGGAGAGAGGGGGGGAAGGGAGAGAGGGGGGGAAGGGAGAGAAGGAAGGAGGAGAAAAATGGTCAGAACATCACGCTGGGACGGAGGGAGGCAAAGGGAAACAAATGCTCTTATAAACTTTCTCAACAAGATTCGTTCCCAACCTTGTAAGCATCTGCCACTGTATACGGCTATTCCAACTTCGTCCAACTGTTGCCGCTTGATTGCATTCATGTTTGGCTGCTGTTTCCTAAGTGTGGGTACACCTCTCCTGCTTACAGATGCAAGCTTCACCGGAGATGTTACTTCCGTTGACCCTTCAGATCCTTCTTCTTGAGCCAGGTCATTCTTCCCATGACCACGAACCAAAGACTGAGTGGAAGGTAGAAGCATGTTGGTACCGCTGAGTTCGGTTGATGGAGAGACAGCCTCTTCCTCCTGTGTGCTTTCCTGGTTATCATTCTGACCTTCTGAAATAGGTAAGGTGATTGGATCAGCGTTCTCATCCCAATAGCAGCCTAAGTATGCCTGTGACTCCGAGCAAGCCATTGGAGATGTGTACTTCCCACAAGGATCTGATGTTCCGCAAAATCATGCCAAGCACATCCAACGTATCAATTCAGATCGATGTTCTCTGTGAAAGCCCAGTCTCATTTCATTTCATGTCTTCACAACTCGGGCATAACAAATGAAAAAGCAGTCGTCCAAAAACAGAAAGTTCAATCCATTCCAAATTCAGCTTAAACTACAAGTTCACACGAGACAAAGTTCACGACTGCAACTTTTCAAAGTGGCCTGCCACTTTTGCTACCGACCCAGGCCCGAATCGAAATGCTCCTACCGCGTATACTCGTAGGAGCACTACCTGAGTTCACGTGAACTGGTGGTTTACATATCAAATCTTTTACTTCACTTTGAAGGGTTTTCCATTGATGAGTATTGTTTCCTTTCCTGTCAGTTTCTCCGTACTCTGATCTGTTCAGACAGAGCCCTGGATGCCAATTTCGGTAGAACAGAGGTTGTTTACAATTCAAACACTGAGGGGTGGAGTTTCCATATGGGTCATGGTGCGGTGGTGCATTGTGGACTTGCGTAAGTTGTACCCGAACAGGTGGCCCGCTATATTCACGCATGATGTCACTTTCTGACCTTAGGGTACCACTGTCTGCGCCATAGTCTGGGATTGAATTGGGTCCAGGTTGGACCATCAGAATCGCACTGCAGGAGTCTGAAAGCCACATTTTCTTCTGATGGGCCGAAGTATGACCTTTGGCCCGTTGATAAAGCCTACCAGTACCATGTAGTGTGTCCTTCCAGTCTAAGGGCGTATGGGGCCATTCCCTAGCCCCGTTTTCATCATGGTTTCTGCCATTTTGCTGTCAGCACGATTTCTCCAGTTCTTTATTTTCATGTCGAGTGAAAGGTTTCATGCGTTGTGCCTGTCCCGAGTCCCGGTCTCAGAGTCCTACCTGCACCCAGTCCCAATTGCCTTGGTAGGTCTCAGGTCCAAAGTCCTAGGAGTCCGGTAAGGCCTAGAGGCCAAAGCGTCGTAGGTCTGCAGAGTTTGGTAGTTTAGGTCGTTAGAAGTCATAGGCCCGGTATTCGACAAGAAAAGCCTACAGTCCCAAAGTTCAATATTGGAGCAGCATCCTGGGAAAGTCTGGCAAATTCGGGAACTGGCAAACTGCAGCCGACAGGCCGCATTGACTGGTGGTCTGGAGCCGACAACGGATCACTTCAGCTGCTATTTATAGATGCTACAGTGCTTCATAGGGTCACTTGTCAATCCGCATCCTGTGGAAGGTATGCTGTAGTGCTTGTGCGACAGAGCGACTGGAAAGCCGGTTGACGAAGAGGAGAAGGGCGATTGGGCGCCATAGCTAGGGTTGACGAGGAAGAAGACAGCAGCCATTGCTGCAAGGTCGAAGTAAAGTATGAGAGAGACGAAGTCAGGCAGTAGTGGAGTATATTCAGGAAGTGAGAGTGAGCGATCCGAGGATTGAGAGGAAGAGAGCCAGTGAGCAATAATCTTTCAAAGTATGCGGTGGCAACATTACGGCTCAAACAGCAGATGCTTCGCATCCAGTAAAGAATCACAGAAGATGAAAAGTAAAAGAAGGGACTCAGAGTGGTGATTGTTTGTTTGTGTGTCCTCACCCATATCAATGCGACAGCGGTAAGTGTAGGTACAATGTGTGATATTGAGGCACAAGTCCATGTTACTGCTGGCCATACTGCAGTTTGGTGTGTCCGAGTAATCGTACAAATCATATTCATAAAAAGCTGCATTGGTGATGACAGCTATCGAGGCATTCTTTGCATGATGATCTGGCATGCCATGTGGACCTTTTGTTGTGTTCCTCACCAAGGAGCCAGAGGATACCGTTGAATGGTTTCCAAGAACTTGAGGGTGGACCGGATTCCTCCCACTCTTTTTTGGACTTCCAATGGCCCAATTAGGCATGCTACCAACTCTGACGGCAAAAAAACTCGATAAGACCGGATCCACAAAACCACGATGATCACCAACACCTCCCCACACAGAGCTTGTAGTGGCAGTATCTGGAGACATATTGATGGAACCTCCGAGCTGCAACGAGTTCGGCAATGGAGGCTGATGTCGCTGACCAGGCAGTGACTCACTGACAAGAAGACAAATGCCAGCTTGGGCTGATGATATGCATAACCTCTGCCGGTCCCTCGGAGGCACGACATAACCACTCAGTGCAGATGAGCGTGACATGTACATCACCTCAGGCAACGCCTGGTCGGAGGAGTTTTCATGACCGTTTGTCATCATTCTTGGCGAAGCTAAACGATCAATGGTGTCACCAATGCGGTTGGCTCCCCCAAACCTATCTGCCGAAGTCTCCCAGAATGTGCTCTCACAAATTTGTGTGGAGTGGAAAGTCCTCCAGAAGCACAGATTCGATCTCTTTTCTGCAAAAGGGGCACAAGTTCAAAACCAATGACAGAAGTTATGAATGGCCACAAGGGAAGCAAAAGGACATATTCCAGGTTGTGATTGATCATCTTTTGCTTTCGAGTTTGCTAATGATGGTATCTGTAGCACTGTGGATTGTGCAAGGAATATGAGTGTGCAATCGGACTCGTTTTCAAACACACTTTTCACACATGTAAACAGTAACGCAGCACACTGGCGACATGCGCCCACTCAAAACTCAGAGATATGGTTTTCAGATACGAGTTCACTCCCAATTGGCTATGGCGACCTCAGCGCACAAACATCTCACTGTTCACATACACTGGATCACCCTGGATATCCCACACGCATCACTCTAACACTCGAGCACAC